ATGGCAATTTTCCAAGATTGTACATATATTTTAAACTTTTTGTTGGACATCTGTATCATGTGGTGACAGCTCATTATCTACTCGTCTAGAAAAAATTGAGTGAATTACTAAAAATGCTTGTTCGGGTTTTCACGCGCCTGCGCGCGTCAACCTTTTAACTCGACTTTCTTGGAACAAGCTTTGAATGATTTTTGATTAATTGAGTACTGGAAGTGATTGTTAAGACAGCATTGCATGAAAAATAAAACTCCGGTGCTCGGATCTTACAGCATTTGATTCTTGCTTTACCCTTCAAAAGCGATTTGCAGCTTACCCTCCAAAAACCTGATATTACGCCTTGGCACAGTTTGCTGATAGGGGACATTTTCCCGGACTTCAGAGCCAATTTTCTTTCAATCTCACCTCTTTTCCTTTTCTTATGTGGTTAAGAACATTCTGTAAACAGTTTAAAGAAAAAACTCTACATTCCCGCTATACATCTTCTACGACATATTAAGAAGAATTCCTGATATACAACTTGCATGCAAACTTTGTATGCAGTAATGATGAAGCCAGTGTACTTATGTAAACGTTCTGCGCATAGCGAATGCAAATTAGAAACGTGAGTACTTTTTTGAGATTTGTTTGCAAAAACGTTTGAAAACAAAGAAAAACGATACAGATTTGATTCTCTTTCGCTTATCTCGATAGCTACTGAGAAATTATAGCGTCATCATATTATGCTTATATCGTATGTAAAGGTTTTTTTGAAAACATTAATTAGAGAATAATTTTGTAAAAACTAATACGGAAGCTACGTAATTCGCCCATCTTTGTATTAAATATAAATACAATATATTAGGGTCAATAGCACAATTCACTAAATGAGTGGGACTTACAAGGCTCCATTTGTTCCAACATAAGCGACAGCTTTGTGCTCTTTTCGACTCACTATCACGAACATATTTGAATGCCAATGCTAAACGAAAACTTTTTTTCGTTCTACAAGATGAGCTAAATATTCATCTTATAATTTTTCTCTCAATTTGGAAGTTATTAGCAATACAACTAATAAAGTAAAAGGATAGCTTTCTCAAATTCAAAAAGCGAAAATAAATAAAAATAGTAATGCTTACCCCAGTTTTTAGAGGGACATTTTCTTCTAACTCATACATACGCTCGACATTCTCACCCCGCTTGGTCGTGGACTCATCATTGGTTTTTGGAGAAGCGGTTACATTCACTTTGTTGGTCTCATTATCTACTGCTTCGGTTTTTGGAGAAACGGTCACTTTTACCCCTTGCTTGGTCTCATTATCTACTGCTTCGGTTTTTGGAGAGGTTTCTTTTACCACGTTCGTGGGCTCAAAATTTGCTGTTTCATCCGGGAAAACGTTATCTTCTAACTCTTCTGAGTTTTCTTCTTCTTCACTTCTGTACACTTCTTCAGTTCCTTTTTCCATTACACTACTTTTGTCATTTCTCTT